CTATTCTATTCTATTCTATTCTATTCTATTCTATTCTATTCTATTCTATTCTATTCTATTCTATTCTATTCTATTCTAAATTCTAATTCCATTCTCTCTCAGTGAAAGCTACCATACAGATTGTTATTATTATAGATAAGCCAAGGTGTTGTGTATGCTTAAACTCCATAATGACAGGTGGAATCTAAGTTTGATGAAACGGACACACAAGGAAATAAATGAAACATGCCCGCTTCTCCTCTGGGTGCAAGAAAGAGCACAAAATTCAACAGATGTTTTATTGTCAGAAAGAGAGATCAAAACTACGTACTGACTGAAGGGCTTTGGCTCCAACTGAATCCACAAAGTTCACGGGTGAAAAATCGAGAATGATGGAGTGGACGTTGCTTCCTGGTATCATAAAATGTTCCAGTTCCTCTGGAGAGGAGTCTTGCGGAGTTGCTTCGGCCGCCGAGAATTTCCCGTTAAGTGAAACTTCATCTTGCATCACTTCGTGTTTCATGCTGTGGTCTACATCATTTGTCTTTTTTAATATATATATATTATTTTTAATTTTGTTTCAAGACAAGATTAAAAATACAAAATACAAAAAGAACAGAAAGAAACACAAACAAGGACAAAACAGAACACAAAACAGTCAAAACATTAAAAGAAGAGCATTTAAAAAAACCCAAACACCACATATGCACATATTAAGAGGGAGCTATTCTCCAAAGCACCTGAGGGCAGGACAGGAAGCAATGGATGGAAACTAATCAAGGAGAGGAGCAACCTAGAACTGAGGAGAAATTTCTTGAAAGTGGGAATAATTATCTAGTGGAACAACTTGCCCAGGGGTGGGATTCAAATTTTTTAACAGCTCGTTCTGTGGATGTGGATAGATGGGCGTGGCCTCATGACTAGGTGGGTGTGGCTTCTTTTTTTGAAGCAAACAACCACCCCCGTTTTTTGTTTGCCCCCTGGGCCTCAGGGAAGCCTTCTGGAGGGCATTTTTGCTCCCAGGAGGCTTTCCTGGGGCCCAGGAAGGCAAAAAACAGAGCATGGGTGGGGGGGCACAGCATCCCCTCCGTCCCCCACTTTTTGCCTTCTGGACGAAGCAGTAAGACAGCGAGGGGGATTCCAGCACAGCTGATCATCTGAACAGCTGATCATCGGCAGGGAAAAAAAAAAGAAATACCTTACAGAGTGACTGGGTGGGGAAACGATGTCGGGTATGTATGCGATGTTGCGCATGCGCAATTAGGACTGACTGGGCGTGGGGCTAGCCAGGGGCACAATTTGTCAGTTCTCCAAACTGTGCAGAATCATAACAACTGGTTATACAGAACTGGTCCAAACTATTAGAATCCCACCCCTGAGTTACTTGCCTCCAGAAGTTGTAAATGCTCCAACACTGGAAGTTTTCAAGAAGAGTTTGGATACCCAATTGTCTGAAATGGTATAGGGTTTCCTGCCTAAGCAGGGGGTTGGACTAGAAGACCTCCAAGGTCCCTTCCAACTCTGTTATTCTCTATTCTGTTCTCTATATTCTATATTTTATGTTATTAATAACCTCTCTAGTTGAATACTGATTAATATATTGCTACATTAGTTCTGACTCCTCACCAAACAACCCTCTTTAAACTACTAAATCTAGGTGCAAATTATTGACCTGTCTCCTATATATTGGTGACAAAGTAATTAACAGGAAGAATAATCATACTAAAACAAAAGAAAAGTTTCAAAACTCTGTTAGCAAACTGTTATTGTAATTCACTCCGGGAATGTTTATCACAGCATCTTATCCATCCTGAATCATTCCCAAAGTTAAATAAGTAATTGACATCTTTGACATTATTCATCTTGGATGGAGGACAATTAAACATAAATTAATTGTACAATCTTAAGTGCAGAGAGTAGAGTTTTGGGCAAACTTGTACATACACTTACAAGAGAAAATAATTTTTTCCTTAGCTCTTTTTCTCTGATTATATGAAGAGATTAAGACATTCTTCATACTGGCCTTTCCTCAACTTTCTGTCAAATAATAAAATATGAACTGTTTTAATGTCATACACTCTCAAAAATCTCATTTATCTAAGGCAACTGTCATAGGATTAGGACTGGAAATCTTGTGTTCAACAATTTTGTTTCCAGATTTCGGCTGGGACAAGAAATGTTCTCTGGCCTGTTTTCTCCGCAACAGAAAAAAATGCTAGGAATTTGTGTAATTTGGAGAAGGTGGAAATTTGAAGCCCTTTACGAAATCACGACGTCTCGTCCTACCTCAAAAGCACTCCTACCAAGGACATCTTTTACCAAACTTGGTAACAAAGCTCTGAATACAAAATCTAGGATTTTATATTCATGTTTGATTTCCATCCAGAAAGTTCCCAAGAATGCTGAAAATAAGAAGTGTGCTAGTCACAATTCACAGGCTAACCCACCAAGAAGACACACATTTTTCCATGCAATGCAATGGTCTAGAAGTGTCTCAATATTTCTGAAGGGGTCCTTGATGCTTTCTGAGCTTGGTTGTTTGGGTTTTTTTGCAGGCACTTCATTACTGAACTAGGTTACAACATCAATGCTACTAGGGAGTGAAGTTTGGTTTACATTCTTAGTGGCTTGCCCTGTCAGTGTTGGTGGGAATGGTCTTGGAGGTGCTTGAGTTGGGCTGTTTACTGTTTGTTGTTTGGTGATTCCTTGTTTACTTCTTCATTGTTAGTCTAATGTTAATCTTAGAGTTAATATATGCGCATCTGGGTGTTTATTAGGTTTAGGGTTAGGGGGCTATTTTGATCTTTTAGATAGAATGGAATAGAATAGAATAGAATAGAATAGAATAGAATAGAATAGAATAGAAGAGAAGAGAAGAGAAGAGAAGAGAAGAGAAGAGAAGAGAAGAG